CTCTACAAAACAAGGACTAGTGTCATCCAATAATTAAAAAAAAAAAGAAAAAAGAAGCCATAAGTGTTCTACACTTCCAGGATGCAGTTCACCATGCTTGCTTTAAACTAGACAAATACAAGCTTTTCTCATGGAAGGTTGGATTGTCTCTGGGTCTACCCAGGATGAAGGCAAAAATATTTCTCAGAGCACAAAAAGGGAAGAAATAGGCTCAGAGCCTGGTTTTAGGAGAGGGGAGAGCATGCTCTTTGCACGTTCTCTTAGATTATGTATCACTGCAAAATGGAAAGTACATTTAAAATTTAAAAAACCAAACCAAAACAAAAACTACATCAACAGCAGCCAACATCACTGAACAGATTCCTAACTGCAGACGAGGTTGTTCACCCACCTGTATAGCACGTATTTCAGAAAATGACAGGGTGGCTTGAGGCACAGTTCTACAGAGAACTCTCAACAGCTCCCATTACAAGATAACCTCAAACTGATTACTAGTTGAAAGAAGTTTTTAACTGATCACAACTCCAGTAAAAATATGTCCCTTCACGAACTAGGAAAGACAGCTCAATGTTTTTCCATATCAGTGGAGTTAGAAAGCATTTATAAGCATCGCTATCTGAAACTGAAATTTAGCAGGTCTGAAAGACAGATGCAACTCAATAATCCTACTGAAGCTTGCAAAAGCCAATATGGTGACACCATAGAGAGGTCAGAATAAACTAAATTAAGACTTAGCCACAATACAAATGCTTCTGCATGTGTATTTTTTAAAATGGCTTTGAAAATGGAAAGTGCATTTTCCACAAAGAAGCGTCCAGAGCTGCACATGTAACAGCAAGAATTTGACTCAATAATAAAAAATTGACTGTGCATATACAAACTTTGTGGGAAGAACATAATTTAAACCCTTGGCCTGTAGCTAGGATAATAGTACTTGACACACTGCCATTTTAAGTCATATTTACTTCTTTTCTACACAGTTTAAGTCAAAAAATATAATTGACAAAGCTAAGAGGGAGACAAGTTCTCAACTTGATGAGCCACCAGTTATCTGCTTATTTCCCCAAATAATGCTCCTCAGGTGATCTTCATGGGACATGAGAGTTCAGTTTATTGTCAGACTCCCTCCTCTCACACTTTCTGTGATGTGGTCTGCACAGTATTTGCAAGAAGACCCCCAGGCACTAAATGCTTACATATGTCTAATTTCACTCTTGACCAGCAATCCCAGTGAATGAACAGGGATCACTAACATGAGTAAAAATTAAACACATACCTCCTTGCATAGTCAAAATAAATAGGAAAAATGAGCAAAATTTGACTTTATAAAGTAAAAATCACCATGGCAAGGAATTTGCCACACTGTAGTTACAAAAAGCTACACTTCTATATTAACACCAATGTATTGCTTCCAACACATAACCAGCTTTAATTTATTCTGAAGTATTTGTAGACACAAAGAAACCTTTTTTTCTTTTTTAACCAAATATTCCAACTTCAAGTCCTGTTAGCCAAAAATAGAACACGTTTGCAATTAGAGCTACTGGAATTGAGGACTATTTTTATAATGCGTCTAGGAACTGCAAAGGAAGACAAAAATGTACCTAGTCACCTCCTGCCCTTACATCAGAACACAGAATGCTGTTTTAATTGACTCTTTATATTATTCTAAATTACAAACTGGGAACTTAAAATCCAGATGAAACTAAGGCATTTACCTCAATGTTTTCCTCCCCAAACTTCTCCACTGCAGACTCTTCAGAATACCCACAGGCTCCATACTCCAAAGGAGTGAATACAGTGGTTGGAACATTCACATAATCACACTGCGTGGCATTCAAAACAAATAAAAAAACCACACAACATCAGTAATAAAATTAGTACAATTTGTAAAAATTCAGCAGTCTGAAATGCAGACAGGAAGAAAACTTGGATTATTGAGAATTCTGAAAGCTACTATTTTTTTTTAAATTAAAAAAATGTTTTAAATTAAACTACACTTTTGGCGTTGTCCCTCTCAGAGGCATTAACTAGAGCAAGAACAGAAAGATAATTTAAAGCCACACTGACATTAACATGCTTAGATTAAAAGGAAGAAGAAATTCAGTGCCCTGTTTTTAAAATGTACCAGATCAAAGGTCTGTTGCATTTTTAAACCAGATAAAAAGTAGACTGTTCAGCTGCCTCTACAAAGCATGCTATTTTTATCTGGGAATGCTGCAAAGAAACCATCACTACCAAAACTCATAATCTTTTTTATCAACTGTGGCTTAGGTGATGCCAAAGAACCGAAGATGGGATCAACAGCCAGTTGAGGGGACAGCTAGAACTAGAGCTGATACTGTGGCACCTAATCACATACCGTGAGAGACAAACACTAAACCCTGACTTCAGTGGAGTTTTACAGTGTTCTAGAGGTTCCCTCACTGGGCAACCTCTGGGCCTGACCACCCTCAGTGTAAAAAAATTTTTTCTTATGTTTTAATGGAATTTTCCTGTGTTTCAGTTTAAATCCATTGCCTCTTGTTCTTGCACTTTATACGACCGAAAAGAGCCTGGCTTCACCTTCTTTACGCTCTACCACCAGGTATAAATACACATTGATATAAGAGACCCTCACACCATCTCTTCTGCAGGGTATAAAAATTCCCACCTGTCTTGGCCTCTCCTCATGTGCCAGATGCTCCAATCCCATAATCATAATCATGGCCCTTTGCTGGACTTGCCCTGTCTTTCTTGTACTGGGAAGCCCAGAACTGGACACAAAACCCAAAACTGTCTCACCAGAGCCAAGTGGAGGAGAAAAGGTCACTTTCCTCCACCTGCTGTAATGCTCTGCCAGGATGCATCTGCAGGATGCAGCCCACATTGTCACTGGCCTTCTTTGACATGAGGGTACATTGCTGGCTCATGGTCAACTTGTCCCTCAGATCCCCCAAGGCTTTCTCCGTACAGCTGCTTTCCAGCTGCTGGGTGCCCAGCCTGTGCTGGTGCACATGGTTACACCTCCCCAGGTGCAAGACTTTGCACTTCTCCTTGCTGAACTCCAGGCGATTCCTGTCGCCCATTACTCCAGCCTGATGAGGTCCCTCTGAGTGACAGCAAAACCATCGGGTGCATCAGTCACTTCCCCTCAGTTTTGTATCATCTGCAAACTGAGGCTGCACCATATCTCATCATCCAAACCATTAACAAAGATGTTAAACACTTAACAGGTCCAGTTAAACTGGACTGAGCATCCAACCCTGTGGCACACCACTAGTGGCTGGCCTCCAGCTGGTCTTTGCAGTGCTGGTGACAGTCCTTTAAGTCTAGTCAGTTCAGCCAGTTTTCAATCTACCTCACAGTGTCAAAAGCCTTTACTAGAGTCGAAGTAAACAACATCCACCGCTCTCCCCATGTCCACCAAATTAATCATTCTGCCATAGCAGACTAGCAGGCTGGTCAGCTCCATTTAATTTCTAGTAATTTTAATTTCTACTGATTTCAACTGTACTCCATTTCCTTTGTGACTAGGGATCAACTGATTCTTTCCCCACCTATCCATAACAGTCTGTTGTGTTTCATGCAATATCACCCTTTCTGGACTTGTTACAACGGCAGCGTAAGCCAGGATCTCAGCTAAGCAGTTACTCATTTCTTGGATTCACTGAAAGATATGATGCTTTCTTTGGCAGCCTAAAGGTTTTCATACCTAGAGAGACAGTTACCTGGCATAAAATGTAAACTAAGACATATCCATAGTATTGTAGCAAGAAAAAAAATTCTGGCTGCAGCTATGCTTTTCTTAAACTTTGTCTGGCTGACATAATGACATTAGGTACACTGATTGAGGATTCTGGTACTGCAATACCTGCCAACACAAAATAAACAACTCAGTCAAGCTCTAAATCTGACCGACAGCTGAACTTGATAGGAATATAGCAGGCTCTGAAGGAGAAAAACCTATGCCCTACGGTTTTGAAGGTGAGACAAGCACCCACATCAACGGTTCTTGGACAGCAGTTCTTTAAAGGCGCTCTCCTGGTTTCAAGGTAAGGTGTAGATGAGTACCTACACTACTCCTATTTGGACTAGCATAACTTGACTAGTAGTCAAGTATGAAACCTACAGTAGCCATAGTATGAAATGTAAGCACTGAATTGATGAACTCAACATCTCAGGTGTAGTATGTGCTGTCTTAGTGATAGATTTGATCTTCCTTTGTGTTCAGTTATAAGCAGAACTATGTATTACATTGAAAACATGGATGAGAAGTGAAAAAAATATTGGAAATTACATTGAAAATGAAGAGCATCACAAACCCCTCTGACACTCTATTTGGGGGCTGTAGGTAGGTTTAGTCAACTGTCTATGAAATAGAGTTAAAGCATTTAATGGGATGGGAATGATTACTGACTTTTAGGGAAGGTGGTAGAGTTAAAAGTTACATTATCTCAGTTAATTTTATTATCATCATACTCTGAGAGAAAAATAAAACCTCTTAAAAGGAAAAAAAGAGACTACTGCTCTTTCATCCTACACAATCAGCAGAACCTATCTCCAGTAATACCTTTGCAAGGGGAAAATTAAAGTCATCATCAAAGCTAATCCTTAAAAGCCTACTGAGTTTTCCATAAGCAAGCAGACTTGCACTCTGCACTTAGTAGAGCGATGGCAGTGTTTTGTGGCAATTGGTTCCTTACCTTACTGGTTGCCCCAGCATAAAGCCTTTGAACTAACAATCTTGCTGCCTGGATTGCCACTGGAGTGAGTTCCGGCTTGTCCTGCAGTATATCTCCAATAGCATAGATATATGGAACGTTTGTTTGCTCCTCATCGTTGACAGGAATTTTTCCTGTTCTGCAATTTGAATTAACAAGAAAAAAAGATCTAAGTGTTCTGCTGTCAAGACCAGAGGTGTAAATAACCTTGCAGGAGTTAGGCCCTTTAGCTTTAAGGGAAAGACATGTATTTGAAGTATGAGGGAAAGAAGTCATAGTCACAATCTTACAGTCTTGGGCGAGAATGTAAAGTAGTGCAAATTTGAGGGCAGCCACAGGAATTTACACACTGGATAATGAGGCAGCCCATGAAGTTACAATTCATCTCCTGAATCGATTCTTTGGTGAGGCCTAAATCCTTTCCTCAAACACCCTCTACTACCAGCTGAGCTATGTACTGGCAACCTTGAGGAATGACGGGAAGAGACATTATCCTGCCCAAGCTGTAGGACAAAAGAATTTCTCCACTACTGAAATAATACTCCAGTGGCTGAAGCACGTTCTGTAAACTTACCCTTCAGGCTTCTACACAGAGACAGGTCAAGCTGTGAGACACTCTACTTAAGGGACAGCCAGCAAGCTTTTTAGCTATAAGTGTACTGATCTAATGGAAGCTTTTAATTATTAATATTTCCCACTTCATTAATAAATGAGACAGTGAAGTAATCACTGTAGGAAACATATGTAAGAGGGAAACCTAATTGGACACAGAAACGGTCACACAGTTACTTGAGGGACCAGTGGCAATTTCCATATTAAAATCCAACTTTCTCAATTTAGCTCTTGTTAACAAATATACAGTTTAGGCTAATAATTTTATAGTTCATTTTATTAAGCTACTAATAGGCATCCTGACATCAGAAAGATGCGTAGTGTTCTACAAGGCAACATGGGCCTGCCAATTTTGAGTGGACCAAAATTTCCACTTAGAACATTGCAACAGTTCCCTTTAGCAACATCAGTCACTGCATTCATATATAAGCTGCCCTCGGTCTTGTGTCTTTTCTTCAAAGGGAACATCATCTAGGCCCCACATGCCTAGCAGATGCTTCAGTTACCAATACTGAAAATGCTACCGATAGCTCCACTCACTGGTGCAACAGCCTCACTACCTTAAATATGAAACGCTCCTCTACAGGAGACAGATCGTTCCCAAGAGTTGCTCTAAGGCAAGAAATAAACTTCTTCAAAAACTAAAGCATATCACCAACTCCAACTGAGTTTAAGGAATGCAACTTTGACCTTGTATTTCAAAAGAAACAGATAGTATCATTTACATTAAAAATTTAAATAAAACCCACCACACTAAAAGCCTGTATGATCAAACCAAGAGGTGGTCGAGAGAAAAAAAAGGAGACAGGAATAAGAGTGCAAGGAACAACTGACAGATGCTAGAAAGCCCAGTCAAAGAAGCTGGAAGAAGCTGGAAGAAGCTCAGACCGACCTGTGAATCTGGACAGAAAGGAACACTTTTGACTCCCAACATTTAGGAACTGACATTTCAGTATCAAAAAAGCAAATGTGGCACTATTATGGAAGGAAACGCAGCTATTCACTACACAGTCTCCTACCCAAGTGCATTCAAACAGGAAACAAGTTTTTCCTTAAAGTGTTTGAATGTCGATGCACAACTACGGCTGTAACTGTAAATGCCTCCAGCTCGCTAATCAGTGGTGTAGAGACACCTGTCCTTACTTTTCATTGATCTTCACACCAACTTTGTCTAAACCAATGTTTCTTGTGCATGCATCTCTCCCGATTGCTAGCAACACCTGCAAAACAGCAATGAACATGTTATTGATTTTTTTAAAACCTCAAAAGTGCATCTGCATGTGGCGGTCTATTATTTTCATTATACACTAAGGATTAGTAGCTGAGGCTTGGTCACATTAAGATGAAGATGTTTGTTACTCATTGTGCATTCATAGATTTCAAGACAAGCCAAAACATCACCATGACCTAACAATACCAGGTTTTAATGATAAGATTAAATAAAGCCAAATAGGTTTCCCTGGGAAAATACCTCAAGAGTATTCTGAACAAATCGGTTAAGGTCAGATTCTTTATTTTATTTCCTTGCACTTTTATACCAAATTGTTATAACATATCTCTAGCAGGGCAGATGACCCCAAAAAGCTCCACAATGAAAGGGCTCTTCAGGAAGGAAATTCAGAGGCTTAGGCAAATAAAAAGACCATAAAATAATCTTTGTTTTGATCAGAAAATATAATTTACTTTTACAGGTTCTCAGCCAAGTTACTGCCAAAGAGCTTACACTATCACAAAGAAAAGTGCTAAGCGCTTTGCAGTCTTGGACAACTGCCCAGGTAACTAGGCAATGCTTCCCACACGACAACTAAGAACTGTGCTGCAGGAATCAGACATCTACTTCAAGTCTTTCAGATGCCCAAGCATACCAGATCTTCAGAGTTGAAGATCTTAAAATGCATTACACACAGCTTATAGCTTCTATGAGGAGTGACAGCATTTCAGTGAAAGATGCAGTAGCAATAAGAAACCAAAAGTTTCCTTAATGAGAAGATGGGACTGATTTGCCAGCTAAAAAAGCTTTCACTACTATGGACCAGGAGAAACAGTATTGCAACACTGTGCAACAGCACTGTTGTTATCGTTAGACGTTCTCATAATACCAGCCTTCAGACACACTGAGGCAAGTCCTTGTTATGGGATGACTGATGCACTGTACAGGTAAATGAGGTCACTGGCACACAGTATTTGCAGTCTCAAACCCTAGGCTGGCAAATGCTTGTCTATGCATTCTGTGGAGTTCCAAATACTTTATTCAAAACCTTTTTTTTTTTCCTTTCAGCATCAAGGGCTAAGAAAATGAGTGGAGTGAGGGGTGATGGAAACAGTCAATCAAACGTATAATGGCATACTCACACACTGCAATTTTGCTGTTTCAAGTGTGCAATGAAGTTTCCTGACTGACTTGCCACAGGGTGTTAGTTGTTTTTGTGAAGATGCTGCATCAACAACAGGTCTTGAGAAGACATGATACCTGTTTGTCTAGCTCTTGCACAGATCATAGTTTTGTGCTAACTCCACAACATGCTTTCATTATTATGAAAGTTATTATAAATCATTAGTTATAATTTATGACAAATATCCCACTGGGGAAAAATACTGCAACTGTTTATACATGACCAAGTTCATCTACATCCCTAAGCCAAAAAACAGGTTTCAAAAATATGCAAGTGATCTGGTAAGGCACATGGGATGCATACCCATTAATTCTGGGACTTCTGTCACATTAATTACCTGTTGATTGTGTGCAATTAGCATATTGTAATGATTAAAAAAATTTCAAAAAATCTAAACTATGGATAAAAACAGCCCATAAAATCTTAACATTAATCACAGAATCATGGGATACCAGGTTAAAAAGGACCTCAAGGATCATCTGGTCCAAACTTTCTTGGCAAAAGCACAGTCTAGACAAGATGGCCCAGTACCCTGTCCAGCTGAATCTTAAAAGTGCCAGATGTCAGAGAATCCAACATTAAATGGGAATCCAATCAAATAAAAGGTAATTTCATATTCTCTATGTATATAGACAGGACTCACTGTATTGTATTCCCCTTCAATTATTTGGTTCTCCTTTGTGGACTTGGCTGTAACTTTCAATCTTCCAGGAGTTCCTTCCTCAATCTGCTCAACCTGCAACAATAGTGGGGGTGGCGGGAAGAGTTTAGTTTCAAATAAAGATACACAAATGTATATTTTCACCTTCCTCTACATTTGTGATTACTACTTGCATGTTTAAACATTTTGGTTTACCTACATGCATTTATTCTTATGACCAACACAGTAAGGCTTTCTTTCTGTTTTTAAAAGTTGATTGATAGCTAAGTTCTTGTCCAAGCCCATCATGTGAGCTGCTAGTATCAAATGGGGACAGAGGAGGTGAGGAGGGAGGGAACTGTTGTAAAACCTGCAAACAGCATCAGACATTTTCTTCAACTGCACCTTGAGGACTATTGTGCCTTCCACCCACGGGAAGCCACAGTCACAGCTCAGCCTTTAGCAGTCCAAGCCTCTGCCCTGTTTGAATGATGCTAGTCCAACATGTAAAGCTGCCATGGCCTTGCAGGAGAAGGCAGCAGCTGGCTCTAAATGGTTTAAAAAACTCCAGCAGCTTAAGGGACAAACCTCTTCAGGGTTCCCCAGAGTCAGCTGAAATAAATATTCCTAGTTTTGGCTATGGATCCAGCTGCATACTCCCTCTCAAGTAATGCAGCGCGTTACTGACAATTCCAGCAAAGCAAGAGTGAATATTTTTGCAACTGCACTTTTTGTTCAGAGTAATAAAAAATAAAGTTTGGTTTTAAACAAAACAAAAACCAAAATATTCCCACTTCCACACTCCATCCCTCCATGTACCAGAAGAAAAAAAAAAAAAGGCAGAAAGAGCAATAGCACTGGCTTTTTTCCAAACACTCCTTTTTCCTCTGACAAAAAAATCAACTGAACAAGTGAATAAACTTTGAAGCTACATAGGTGGATTCTCTTTTGTCCTCACTAACATACACTGGACTGTGAGGAGAGGGCTGAATATCCTCAGCTACAGTCCTTCCCTTACCCTCCCAGGAATAGCAAGGTGCCCAGCTGCTTTCCAAAGCTGGCTGTACATAGAAGACACATGTACGTGTGCAACACTTAATTCTGGGAAATTTTAGTGTTCATTCTCCAGAAGAAAAACTACTTCTACACAGCTGCCCTAGTTCCTACTTCATATTCAGTATTTGAAGACAGAAAAAGCAAAATTTCTGATTGAGTTTGCTTCTCTTTTAATTTAAAAAAACCTAAACCTTCTTTGCCATCCTACCAACTTTAAAGGATCATTGTGTTAAACTGCTCCTATTCAAAGGCAGAATTATTTATAATAATTCATCTTCTGTCTTCAAACCTCCCAATGAAGGGTTTTAATAAGCACAACATGTATAACTTCAAAAACAGTGTTTGAAAGAGATGAGAAGACCTGCTAAAAACATAACCAGCAATTTAAGTTTAAGGATATGCTCAGCTAAAAACAGGGACAAATATTTCACTCCCATTGAAATCAAAGACTTGTAGTGAAGGGGTAGGGCAAAAAAACACAAAAGTGCATTTTGTGACTAAGGTGATGAACTCCTCTTAGCAGGATGCACTTGGAGGAGACCACTCACTATTTAGTTGAAATAATCTGTTTTTTCTAAAATCAACTTCCTCCTTTCACACCCCCCCAGAAGGGCATACAAAAAGCTATGTCTGAAACAAAAGCTGGATAATCATCCCTGCTTTTCATACAACACGGGATTTCTACAACCCAAGCAAGCATAAAAAGCAAAGTTCCTCAAAACATCCCACTTTGACTTCTCACAGCAAATCTCTCTACACTCTGTGAAAGAGGGCAAGACCCACTCTCTGGTAACTGGAAAGAGCATTTTTTAAGCTACTCTTGATATTGCTAAGGGTGAAAATGAACAGCCTTCACTCAATTTAATGCTTTAATCCCCAAAGTGTTAAACTCAGTAATACGCTGTCTTAATGCCAAATTTAAAACTGCTTAATACATTATTTCCTATTTCATAATAATTAAGCACTAGTTATTGTGAAAAAAAAAAAAAAAGAGGAAAAATACTGTTAGTGCCCTCCGAAGTCTTTGATAAAACAATTTAACATTAGAAAAACTCTAGAGCTTATCTAATCTGCTTTTCAACCTGAATTTGCCTGTACATGTACATAACTAGCTGCACCAGTGCTCCTACCGAATTCAAAGAAAACTGAGCAGGTATTTAAGGACTCTGCCAAGGAAAGGATATAGATAGATACTTATAAAGCCCATTTATTTTTCTGGATAGTTCACTAGCCTTGTGCTGCTTGAGAATTTGAGAACTGGCAATGAAAAAATGTGACTACTTTTCATGCACTGTCCCTGATCCTACAGGAAATTGTGTATCTGTTTAATTATGAGCCTGAAAGAAGTTTCACAGATTTCAGGACAACTGCTGAATTTAAGTATATTCAACATTTGCAGGACCAGGATGATCACAAGTAACAACTTTTTTAACACAACATATACTAACCTATCTAATTCTGATAAAAACAATTAGTTCTGGAATCTCACGAAATTTTAATACTAAGACTAAATTATACCTTTCAGTTACATAAGGTTCATGGACTTACTCAGTTTAAAACAAAAATTAACCCATACAATAACAGCAGATCGTGTATTGCAAATCCAACTTTTGTATTCACTAAAATAAATTACATCTTAAAATATTATGATAGGTATATTGCAATCAACTGTAGTCATATATCACTCTGAGCTTACCTTGATTGGCACAAACTCCCTAATAAAGTTGATTCCATGTTCTTCCATATAATTGCCAATTTTGTTTGCCATATCCTGGTCAAATCCTCTTAAGAGGATGGATCTCACCATTACAGTGACATCTAATCCAAGACCTGCAAGAAATCCTGCACATTCCAAAGCAACATAGGAAGCTCCAACCACCAGGGTTTTCCCTGGACAGTAAGGCAGAGAGAAAAGATCATCACTGGTGAAAAAAGAGGGGAAAAATAAAAGAAAGTTAGAGACAACCAGAAGAATGTATTGTGCTGTATATTTCTTCTGTAAGAATAGGACTTTATTACTCTTCCTGCTCACTGAAAAAAACCAACAACTTACATTTTTGGATATTCAGCTGAAATACAAGATCAGTACACAGCAGGCTAAAAAGTTCTAATTAGGAGTACACACACACACACACAAAAAAAAAAGAGTATGAAAATTCTGAAACACCACAAAAATTCTGAGGGTTTTGTTTTTTTTTTACAGAAACTTATGACAAATTGTTAAAAAGGTAGGTTGTTTGTTTGTTTGTTTGTTTCTCTGAATCTTCCTTCACATATTTTGCTGCAAAATTTAGCTCCTAAGAGCTTAAAGGAAGATGGAGGGGTTCAGCTTTAAGATAAAAATACCATTTTAACTTCTTTGAAGACCTATCCTTTCGCTAAATCATTATACACAGTGCCAAATACACACAGACAATAAAACAAACTAATGGAAACCACAGTAACTGGCAGAGATAGAACCACAAAATTATGGAAAACATATATTTGCCTGCCTTCCATTTCTTTCAACTGCTTCATCAAGCTATGTCAGTTCTACCACACTTTGGACCAAGACTATAAAACCAGGGCTTCTGAAGGTAGCAGGGACTCACGGAGGCATCATGCTTGCTCAGCAGGTGCTTAGGCTGAGTTTGGCAATGCAGTTCTCCAAAGATTTGTATGTAAAATAAGTGTCTCTTTCTCAGCCAACAACTGCAAAGGCTGAACAAAGATGATCTCTGCAAATCTTTTGGTGGAATAAAATGTGATTGTGTAATTAAAGGATACATCATAGTTCCTACCCCCCAGGGAACGCCGTGAAGATTACACAGACA